TAATAGTCCTAGTCCTATACATACTTTAATACCTTCACCATATTCATTTACATCACTTAAGAAACGAAAAACTAATTTACAATAATCGATAAATTTTAACAATATCATTGAATTTATTAAAACTTGAACGAAAATTAACAATGATTCAAAAAAAAGAACAGTCCCTAGAAATTAGATGTAAAATTTGAATATTGTCTTCGATAAATTCATATTTAAACAAATTTGAATAGTTAAAAATAATAGTTTATAAGTTTGTTGAGTTGATTAATATTGGCTACACAGAAATTACTACAAAACAAATTTTTAAATATGTAGTTAAGAATGTTTTAAAAATACTTAATTTTAATTGATCAACAAAATAAAGTGCGTCAATTGAGCACGCGGCTTTTTATTTACATTTAAATTTACAATCATAGAAAAATACCTCTGACTGAATATATAATGGAAATATTATAATGCATCAAGCATTTATATCTGACTAGATCTTGTCATAGATGAAAAGTTTTAACTTTCAAATAGGTATCATTAGGATAGAAATAAATATGTTTTTTTAATTTTTTGCCACAGATATTGTGTATTCCAGAGGTATTATCATTATCGTGTTCTTAATATTTACAACTGGACATTATAAAAGTATAATATAGATTATAGTTATTTTATTATGAAATTCCTGCACTTAAAAAAAATTATTTTATATAATTTTTCTAAATTGTTAGGGTTAGCTTCGATGGTTAAAACCTTTGGTATTATCAGGCCCTCGGGGCTGTCGAATAACATTGTCTTCAACAGCAACACGAACTATGGGCTGTCGAAGCACTTCAAATTTCATACTACCTGAAGAACTGGCCCTAAAAATGAAAAATAATAATACATATATAATAAAAATAAAACAGAGAGATATTGTCTTGAGTTTTGAGTTCTAGTTTTAATATAACAAATATAAGAATTTATATTAGTTTTACTTTTTATCMTTATATATATATTATATATTATAATATTATATATTATATATATTATATCCTTATATACTTTAAGATGATAAAGGAACTTCAAAATTTATACTATTCAAGTWKTGTTGTTACCTAAATATTAAATAGCATGGCTGAAGTTAAAATTTTAAAGACAAAATTTCTAAAATGAAGAAAAATAATTTTGTAAATATTTATTTCTTAACGCGTTTTATAGTTGTAAACTAATYGTTTTAACCTTGAAAATAATAATTCAAAAATGTCCTTTCAAATTATTGGTTCAAAATATTCTAAATAAGTTCATTTGAATTAMTTGAAATTAAAATAAGATTTGTTTTCAAGTTATCTTGAGTATATAATTTAATTTTATATTTTAGGAATGTTTGAAATTCATAAAAAAAATTAGCTTATTGATAGGAAACAGTCCAATATGTAACCTCTAACATTATTGAATATAACATCTTCAAGTTATAGTACTGTCAAGGCTACAATAAATACCAATTATCTACTAATGATGAAATTTTTAAATGTTATTAATTGTATAGTAAATAAGACATTTAACTGTTTAACTAAAAGTATATATTATATACAATAAGTTTAAGTTATTTAAATTTATAATATAAATATAAAGATTCAACACTTCATTTTTGTTAATTAAACATGTAACATTGTTTGGAGTGTTAAAACATGTATGTATTTTTATAACTCTTGCGAGTTTTGACACAAAAAAATATATTCWTCTTAAGGATTTTTAAAAATTAGTGGGTGCATTGTTAACTTCCATCTCCTTGTTACTTACAATGTGAACTTTAAAATGTCATCCTAATCAAAAATATTTGACTATAGAAAAAATGTTCTTTATGATTATTAAATAGTTAGGTTTTTTTTTCATCTAATACTAACTTATTTCTAAAWATAGGAGYAATATAATATTATAGTATTAWATACCTACTAAGCAAAAAATGTTAATACTCTATAAGGTTCTCACTAAATTAATAACTATCACAATACAACAAGGGTAGATAATTATTTTTTAAGATAGTTCTGAAAACTTTAAAAAGTATTTGAAGTTCCAGATTTTTTGTTTAACTAATTGATTTATGTGTATGAAAGAAAAAATCAGCATTAAAGTAAAATATACTAGGCCAATATTTATGGTGAATTTTCTTTCTGTTCTGAATCTAAATTATTGACAATCCCTGCAATATTATGGTGAATACAAATTTARGGAATAAAGTAAACTAAATCTCATACTATTAGCTGAATACTTACAAATCAAAGATTCAATTAATTTATTTAGTATTGATACCAACAAATATTTAAATATATAATTTATACTTAGTATATTGAACTATAATACATTTCACAAAGATAATAAGTATATAAAATATACTTATTGAGTTCTTCAGCAATTTAGTAATGAATTAATATTCTAATTCAATCATTCAGTCATGTCATTGATAGATACTACATTAACAATACTATAATAAATTAATCTACTAAAGAATTGTAATTATTACATAAACTGTTTAAAATTACCCTTCATCGTCAGCATTCAACTCTTCTTCGCGTTCTTCACCCATGATTCGTAATCTAGCTTCTGCATACTCTTGTTTTCTCTAAAGTAAAATTTAATTTGTTGAAGAATTGTATGTAATAAATGTTCATTCAATTTCATACTTGTTCCAAAGATTTAACTTGTACTTTGGGTTTATCAGCATTTTCATTTACAGCATTATCCTTCTGCGGTCGTTTCAGTATTTTAACAGTGGGCTGTTGAGGGATTGTCATCTGTTGATGATGATTATATGACAATTGTAAGCCAGGGGGCAATATTACAACATTGCTATTGCTAAAAATGTTTGCACGGAAAAATATTTTATATATCCAAAAGATACACACGACTAAATAATGTTTAAAAATAGTCACTTTTCATTTTTGGTAGCGGACGCCAGTTGCATTTTTTTTATCTGAGTGCTAAGAACCTATATAAAAAGGCAAAAATATAAGGAATCGTTAGATGACAACAATGCACGAAAACTAGATATTATAATCTGTAGGTGCAACCAGCGAATTTGTCAGGTCTGTAAATATTTCAAACAGACACGACAAATCGATCTAGACAGTGGGCCAGCTGACCGACCCACCAGTCTCGGCGGGGAAAAATAGTAACACCACAAATACGACTACTTACAGACGGATCGTCCAGAGCTTCCCAGCTTTCGTAGGGTTCGGTTGTGCCCGGGTCACAAGCCGCCATTATATTGTACATACTAATCACTCAGCGCGGGATCGGATGTTGTGCGTGTGCGTTTTACCACGAAGTCCGCTGGCTAGAGAGTCGAGGCATAGTTGGCGGGAGCAGAAAAAAAAATAGTAGCTATAAATAATATCGACGATGTACGATGATCCGTCTGAATTTGTCGAATGCCGGAATCACGTAAACGTTAATGTTATAATTATTAATTACCGTTCGACACGAGAATAAAATGTTAAAAACTAGTCCGACAATCGGAGGTAGGTACACAATGAATAATAATGATTAATAAATACAGAATAATTATATATTGTGATATAATAGCAGTCTCGGCCCGAGCCCGAGGCCCGACGACAATTTTGACAACACGTCGAGATTACAAGCCCAGGTCATGGAACAGACGGTAGTCGTCCGTGCGTTTCAATTTTTGCATTTTGGTTGGCAACACGCATTTTGTTTTTTTTCGTTTTGACCACCAACCGACCAACCGCCGTCCACCACTACAGTTCAAACTGTTCAAAGTCTGAAGTTTAAAATTTTGATAAAATGATAACTGAATTTTACTACGACGATAGCCATCTGTCCGCTGTCCAGTGTCCTGTCCTGCCGGACGTCTTGCCCACCTAGCCGAAGTCGTACAAACTACAAAAAGTATGTAAAACAACACAATAACACAACCCATCGTTGATGATTCAAACAGTTAAGTACAAACAAACCAATTATTCGTAATAAATTGACTCATTTACACATTGGCTTGATACTGCGGCTATTTAGACGTTACAAAATGAATGTTAACGAAACATAATTAGATAGTGATATAACTGGTTACTAGGGCGTGAATATAAATCATGAATGTCTAAATGTCCTTAAAACACAACAAAATGCCTATAAAAGATCCGATTTAAACATTTTATGCACCTGTGAGTAGAAATAATCAAAACCTTCAAAAAATTGCACTTAAAATATTTTTTGGTGTAGGTAATGTGAACGAAAAAAATWAAAATAACTACACATAAATCTTATTGCATTGCTTTAATAGTTTTAATGCGTAGACGAGAGGTATTCAAACTTTTTCATCCCGTGGCTCCTTTGGGTGTTTACAATATTTTGACGGCTCCCAAATTATGAAAAAATTGAAACAACACACGGATCAATATGACCAATATGTTATATGGGTGATTATAACAGTGACTTTAGTACAAGAAATAAAACTTCGAATGRGTGTGTCGTTTTCATTTCCATAATGATTGCAAATAATATTTATAATAATTAGGGAACGGATTTGAATGCAAATTGCATTTTTTTCTGAATGTCCGAAAACATTGGTTTCCAAGCAAAAAGTTAATTTCATACACCAAAGAATTAAAAAATGTAACTTTTATTTTGCATTTTTTGAAATTTTTAGTGCATTTTGTGGTTTTTAAGTCATTTTTTCCACATTCATTCTAAATTATTATTAATAATTATACAAGACCTAGGTAAGATGTCGGTTTCAGGTGCTTTAATGTAGCTCCCTTTGCTAACTCTCGAGACGCACAGTTTGAAATTTGAATACCTCTGACATAGACAAAGAAAATGTACTTTAAACGTTGGGCGATGTCGGTATGCGAAAAGTTATGATACGATTTTAGCACATTTTGTCTYGTGGGTAAATGTGTGTGGCGATCTAATGTCGTTTTTGAAATTCAGTTGTTACCCCATTAGCCATTATTTACGTTTAATTCGTGTTATGTGCAACCTTATTCATGGATAAAGATTTTCTTTATCTATATTTATTATTTTGTAATCTGAATTCTGCGTCATTCCACATTTTGACCAATCTAATCTTCAGTTTTTCCTGTACTTACTACTTGGTTCATTTGTCCATTGTCTATTAGTCGTTACTAATTAACAATCAATCGTTATTTTGTAAAGTATTTACTATATTTTAGTTATTACTTATTTTAAGTCTACTGTCTAATAAGTAATATATACTGTGGAACAGTGCTCATTGATTTATTTTGTACCGACTATATTACATTTACGTTTAACTTAACAGTTCAGAAGTTGATTATCGGATATATTTTCCATAATCTATTCCTGAGTGATCAATAAAAATAACCACAATTTTATTATCTGATAATTATTATCCAGTKTTTTCTATTGTGTCAACTGTGATTCAAACACTCGAGTCTCTTTCACTTGTTGGTGAGTGCACTTATTCTTAAGTCTGATAAATTTAAATTTGTTATTACTACTCAATAGGTACCAAATAACCTTTACAATATTTATTAAAGTCCATTGTGTATTTAATAATTATGGAGGTTACTATTAGTGAACATTTAAATCTCTTTACAGTAATAGTGTTATTGCAAAACAAAAAATTAGATTCAAATAAATACAAAATGTCAGATACCTAATTAATTAATAATTATACCTAATCATTATTTTTTTTTTTGTAAATTTTAAGTAATAAAGTATATTATTCAGTAATATTAATAAAATGTTATTTAATTTTTTCAATTACCTACTTAATATTGTATTATATAATATGAGATAGGTATAATATCTAAGAACAATAGAACAAAATTACTTTGAAGTGTAGGTTTTTTAAAACAGCTTCTCAATTGATTAAATTATTATGCTACATTAATAATAATTTAATTTATGAATATTAGACCTTCTATTCTAAGTTATTTTGACCTGTTATTATATTATTTTCCAAAAATCTCAAAACTATGTTTAAAATATTTTTCAAATAAACAGTCTTGTTCTTGTTTCTTATGATAATAAACATATTATTCATATAGTTGTTCATTTAAATTAATTATTTGTGTACATTTTTCACTTATTTATTTTTAATCAATATCATCCATATTACTTAATACTTAAGAGGACACTACRCTCGCATTTGTTGTCTCAATCTTGCATGTGCATAACATGTTAAATTTTACACTCAGCAGATCACGTTTAACTCCGTTAGTTTAGAATTTAGAGTGAATTGACCTCTTATAAAAAATAAAGATTGTTATGATAATATTAAAAATAAATGTTATTTAAACATTTGAAATTCACTAATAATAGGAACTTTCTTAATTCATTCATTAATAAAGTGAACTTATCTTAGTTGTATTATGATTTTAACTTAAAAATTGTTAATATTTATGTTTTAGTTACTATAAATAATCAGAACTTGTTTGCCTCAAAATACCTATAACTAATTTAAACAATATTCTTAGTTCTTACACAAATTTTAAGTAATAGTAYAATGTAAATTATATATAAAGCTAATGGTCCATGTCGCCGAAGCTATAAAGATCAATAAGAAAATAAAAAAATATTCTTACATTTTCTAGATATATTATAATTATTTTGTTTTTAATCACAATTTTTTTTTTTTAGGTCCAAACAAATTTAACAAGTATATAAATATTGCATTATCATGGCACCCAAACCAGTATCGGTTCAAAATCGAAACAAATCTAAAAATAGCATTTTTATAAAAAAACTTAACCGCTGTTTAGTGATCAATAATAATTTGCGTAAGCGAATTGAAGAGTTATCTGAAGAAAATAAAAAATTATCAAAATCTAGGAATAGTATGTTATTAGAKAAATTGGAGTTGCAAAATGAAAATAACTCAATTAGAAATTTAAATATTCAACTGAATGCTAAGCAAAATATTATGCATAGAAAACTTGGTGTACTTGAACAAACAATACAAAGCTGTATACCTTCATTAGTAACTATGTCACAATGTTTCCCATCTATGTTAGAGAATGTACATGAAATGAGTAAATTTGAAGTTAAAGACTTTAACAAGGAACAGAAGGAAAAACAGATTAAAACTGTAAGACCTATGATTCATGGTTTAACTATTAGTCAACCAACTGTTTCATTAAAGCAATTTGATATGTCGCCTATCATTGAAAGCCCTAGTTCTAGTTCTGAACCAACGCCAAAAAAGCCACGAAGATCTAGTTATAGAAGCTCACCTCATTGTAAACCCAGTATGGAACCTTATGTAAGATTAAAAGATGTCGCAGCTATGTTGAAAAACTCCAAAACTGTTGAAAGCCCTAAACGTCAATCAAATAAAAGTTTAGGCGAAGGCCCGAGTTGGTTGAATACGCAAGAAGATCAAATCCAATTTTCTAACAGCAATATTRATGCAACAAAATATGTTAATACTTCTCCTAGATTAATGATATCCGACAAAGTTCAAGCTCATGTGCCAATAATTGCTTCTACTTCAAGTAGTAGTATGGATAATACATTTAATGAAATTGAAGAACGTCACAGTGATTTATTATCTCCTATTGATTCAAGTATGCTGAAAAACATTACTTGTCGAAAACGTAATAAACGATCAAGTGAAATAATCAATGCATCAGATATGAATGATTCAATCTCTTCAACAAGACCAAGTAGATCTGCTACGAAGAAGATTAACTACAAAGAAAAGAGCCTTGGATGTAAACTCAGAAGATAATTAAATTATAATATATTATGATAATTAAATTATCTGAAAATTAATTAAGAAAATGTATTTAAAATGCTACAGTGTGTATCTATTATTTGTAATTTTTAGTTATTATCAAAAAAAAACACTTTTTTTTTACTTATGATTTGGTGTATGTTTTAATTCTAAATTTCATCATTATGTATATTTTATTTGATTAAAGGAAGTTAATAAATAAAAAAATATTTTACAATTATTTAGTAAATTTTAGTAATTATAATTAGTTTGGATTTCAATTTTCTRGTTTCTGGATAAGAAAGTCAAGAATTGAATGTATTGAATATAATAACTATCAAGAGATAAAGTAGACAGTGAAGTGTAATGCTAAGGGCCAGTTGTACCGTCTACGGTTAGATTTCGATTATGCTTATAATCAGCTGATAACAGATATTTAACCAAGCAAATTCGGCCGATTAACTTAAATCGGAGATGGTACAACTGGCCCTAAATCATCCTCAATTTAAATAGAAATATACTAATATATTTATATAAYATCATTATTATATAAAAAATAAATTTAAGATAAATTACCATATTGTAATAAGATAACATTAATACAAAATTACACAAGTAAACAACAGTAATATAAATTCATAAGTATTGAGTTAAAATATTTTAATTAATTATACAATTCATAGGTACAGTGAAACCTCATTAATCTGGACARCCGTTTATAATACGTAAATCAAGCAAGTTTATAACATCAAATAAACATGAAAACGAGTTGTATATAATGATTATAATACAATTATGTACTATTTTGTAGGTTTAATATTGTTAGATATAAACTTAAGTATTGTAGTATAACTGTATAAGTATATATCYAATAATTTTATTTTAATTTATAATTTACGATTCTTGGTTATTTTGTCTAATTCGGACAAACTATAACCCCAATTAGTCCGGATTAATGAAGTTCTACTATACTTTAACATTAACATTATTATCATTTTTTATTTTTGTATTTTTACTATCTTGGCAATATTTTTTTGAAAATAAATGGGTCACCATGCTCGAATATTACTATAAATCTACAATATGTGTAACATTCATCTCCAGCATCTATTTTTTGGAAAACAAAACATGAATAGTGACTAAAATGTTGAATGTTTAACTTTAAACAATATCACGTGAGTAACATTTATTTTAATAAATTATAAATACATATTACACATGGCTAAATCTCTTGAAACGTTTTATAATAATAAATGTAAACTCTTATGTATAAGTAGATAAAAGATAAATAAATATTAAAACATAATTCGTCCGGAGCAGCATATAAAAACAAAATTAATTTAGCCTACGTTTTCGTTTTAATTTTAATTTTTCAACACACTAACGTCTTCAGTGGTCCTTTGCTGAGGTTGGAATGACTTGATCACTCCTGGAGTGTGCACCATTTGCAAAAACCTAGAAATGCAAAATACATTAGATATTATATGTTAAACGCAGCGTTAAAATCACAGAATATCAATTGCAAAACTGCAGACATTATAAGAGGTATGTGCGCGGCTTACGATTTGCTTTTGATACACGAATTTGCAGAGTCGAGATATAAAATCGAATGGCGGATAATATTAAAACAACTATATAGCCTATAGGTACCGCTGTAATTAAAACAATATTATTGTACAGTAAAGGTAGGTAGGTACCTACGTCTTCCCTGCAGCGTCCAGACTCCAGACGCAGCATGGAAAACGTACCTTCAGACAAAAAAGAAAAAAAATTAAAGTCATGACACACAAACGCCTTTCAAACAAACAATAATACCATTAGCTATTACTTTGCAAGTCATATAATTTCATCCAAACCCTGTTCGACGTCCGAAATAAGTAATATAATATGAGCAAACTATATTTGAACATCATTATTACATAAATTATAAGTACATTATGATGACGCTCGCTTTACTTTAGGTACGCGACGGCTGGTTTATTCGGTATGATACAATAAAGTYGTTTCGTGAAGCGATAAATTATTTTTTAATTTATTATTATGTGACGTCACACATTYGATTTGTACAACTATCTATGTATAATGTATATTATATGAATATTAAATACGCATGTACGATGTACCTATAAATGCAAATACCTAAAAAAAAAACAGTGTTGTTCACGTAGATGCCCGGCAAAACGGTATAACTAATCGTAGTATATTATTATAATTATTGTGAGGTGAGTATTTGATTTTAATGATACCCATTATTTACATTCGCAAAGTGCTTGCAGAAACCGTTACGATTGGTTCTCGAAAACGCATATAGGTATACCTACGCGTATAGCTTCTGCAACTGTTCATAATATTTTATATGGCAATAGGTACGACGAGTATTATTATTAAGGCTCGGATGTAGTTGCATTTGCAATTTTGTTTCTATTGTTCGGATTCGTTGCTAAGTAAGTTAATTCAATTTTATATATTTTTTTTATGTTTTCACTTTTTTTTGTTAGATTATACAGTGCAATAGCTTTTAAGGTTAGGTAAGGTTTTAAAAAAAAAAAAAAAAACTAATCAAAAATAGTTTAAATATAAAGTTTTAAATGTTGATAAAATTATTTGTAGATTTCTGAAAAAATAAGAAGACCGCACAATTTACCAGATTTTTAATGACAACTGACGAGAATTTGAACCTTTTTATTAGGTATCTACTCGTTTAAAACCTATCTAATAAAACTTTATAATATTACTTAATAAAATGACTTGATCCATTTCATAAAATAATTTGTTAATATATTTTTTTGGTACAAAATATTTTTTTATTGCAATTTTTAAGTGCAATTTTGGGTATTTTTCACAGCAATAATGCAATCAATTTTATAACATTTTGCAACAACATCCGAGCCCTAATTATTATATTATATTATAGTTACCTATATGCAGTAGTTGTAGTAAGAGCATGGCGTCCCACCAATTTTTATAAATTATATAATTTTCCATCCCATATTTTATTTTGAACTACTTCTACCATTGTCAAAGTAAATGACTAAACGTATGTGCATTAAGTATCGACTATCGTCTATTATTTAACAGGTTGTTACACATTCAATCAAGTACCTACTGAAGTGTCTGAAGTACATCAGTACAAAAATCTTATATTAGATAGAAACTTTCGAAAAAATAGCAAATTTACAATGAAAAGAATAAAATAAATATCTGCTCTCTATACAGAGAGTGATTATAACCAAGCATACTAGTCCACCCTTTTATGTCTTTATGCACCAAAGATACCTAATAGTCTTTATTAAACGGTTTCACATARAATATGAAATGTACTTTCATTTTCTTATCATCATTCAATTATTTTGACCAACATTGGTCATTCTCATTATTCATAGACACAGTTCGTTGATCGTTCAAGCACCCGTTAATATTTTTCAAAGGAGTTGGCTAAAGTTTCTCCTTTAACGATTTTGAAACGATTATCTTATAACAAAAAAGTCTTGGGTGAATGTGAAAACCCCCTTCCATAAATACGCGCCGTATAGATAAGGTACCTATTTTTGATTTATATTTATTGTTATATGTGATCTGAAATATACGGAGTAATTAGTAATCAATAAGKACTGGGAAGCGGCTATTAATAGGTACGTACTAAAATAAAATACTAACATCAAAAAAAATTTTTCTAYATAGGTATACCTACTACATCATCGTTTCCCGACCAGTGTGCCGTGGAGCCATAGAAAAAAAACTTATGTCATACACCACATTATAAATGCCAATAAAGTGTCCAATAAAAACCTGAGCTTCACCCCCCCAATTAAATAAATTTGAGTGCCGTGAAAAATAATGATTATTAATACACTCACATATAATTATTTCGATAGTAAATTARAATAATTTTTAAGATTCTCTTACTCTACAATAAGAGTGTGCTTGTCAACTATTCAAATACGGTGAAACCAGAGCCAAATTTTTCACTTGGATTACATTTTTATATATAACATAATCATAATGCAATGTCTCTGTTTTTCAATATCAATAATTTTCATATTTTTACGTAATAAATTAAAATATAATTTTACATGAGTATTCCTRACTAAAATAAATACCATTTTAAATTATTTGCTAGTAATTTACTGATATGAAACTTTTTGTATTACCTAATATAATGAAAGCCTAATACCACAATATTAAAATAATATATACCTATTAAACATATTGTTTAAGTCAGTATCAAGTGTGCTACGGCCTACGACAAAATATGAGCRAGACTTAGGACTTGCTGTGTACCGTCAGGGGAAAGGGTTGGGAAACGCTGTAGGTAATATAAAGTATAAAATGTTATTCAATATTATATTATATATGCTTTTCTTACGGTAAATGTGGTTTTCGGATGCGCCTACACCGGCCCATCGGATCCCTGAAATATCCGGGTCCGCATTTCCGGTTGGCCGTGCTATTTGTCGTAGAAGCGGCAGCGGAYGCTGTGGCAACAGTTGAAGATGACTGACCGGATGGAGGTGGCGACGACGGTGTGACGGCAATCACAGACGACGGTGGCTGTTCGGTGGGTAAGTCCGAAGTGTTTCCGTTGCTCGCGATCAGCGCCTCGACCATCTGAACAATTTTGTCACTGTTGGATGGCGAATACGGGTCGAGCAATGCCGACGCTGGTGAACTCGTACTTACAACCGCCGCTGTTGCTACCGTGGTCGATGACGGAGTATAAGTTGAAGATGCGTTCTGCGGTGGTTTTGCCGGACCTTCGACTGTGTCCGTGTAGTCAGGTAAGTCTTCATACTACGCAAAAAACGTATATTAAATACAGCTTAGGTGTTTTTCAGCATAATGGTACATGTCAGACGGATTTAGACGAATACCCCTTTAACTGCAGACAATACTTTTTTATTAGTAGTCAACTTTTATTATTAAATCTAAAAAAGCCAATAATCATAKGTAGCTTAAATAATAAATATATTTATAAGTTTTCTAATTAATAGATTACGAGTTAGTCATTCCAGGAAAATTCGTAGTTTTCTAATGTTCAAATATGACCAAAGAACAAACGTATTGATGGGTATAGGTATGTAGAATGGAAGTCTAAGGTGAAAAGTTTATTAAATTATACCTTAACTTATGTAATAAAATTTTAAAATAAAATAGTTTTTTTTATGTTATTATTGCCTATTGGAGATATCATATTCGTCAATCACTTCATCAGTTTCAAAAGGTAAGTTATAACTCTGGGTGAATTAATAATAATAAGGCAAGGGCTAAACATTTTCTTCTACAACGATTTTGAAACGACTGTTTTTAAAACAAAAAAAATCTATAGGATGTGGAAACCCTCAACACCGCCTCATCTTCTAAATATGGCACTGATGTAGGTTGTTTTCATGTATACTTAATAAACATTCGTATAATACGAATATATCGTATTCCGTATAAAACTTTATATTTATTTTATGATTTCTTTGAACCATTCTAAAATATATCTTTACTGTAAATCAAATTTTTCTTAAAAATCCTTTTTTTCACATATAACATTATACGAAACTACTATTTTTAGTGCTATTGTCGATAATATTACTATTGTTTAAAAGCAATGCCTACTTTAAAAAAACTCGCAATACCGAGAATAACTTATTTATATTATAATATAACAGCGCGTTTAAGTCTCTAGGACGAATAAACATATACCTACTATATTATAATAATATTATATAGCCATGTAGGACAACGTCATTATATAAATAAAATATATTATTTTATTTTCAATTTATTTGAAAACACACAATCTGTAGGTATATGTAAATATGTGTTATTTTTAGAATAGAGTACCTATGCGAAGGTGAAGAGATGTACCTACATAGATAATGAATATATACTTGGAAATGGCTTGATGAAAGAGTTAGTTAGAGAATAAGCCACCCAATGCTAACATTCTTAATCATCACATAATATTATAACAGTGGGTTGCCTTTATTATGTGAATTCAGACAATATAAGCAGATTCGATCTTAAATATACCATCGATTACACGCTATTCTATAACTAGAATAACTATTATTATCAGCGCCGGTCCGGTCAAATAGAACAGACATTATATTTTGATACTTATAATYCTGTTAAATTTATTGTTATAACGATAGCAATCAAAACACCTATCAAGTTTATAACCGCATAGACAGGAACTTTATTGGAACTAACTTAGTATTGGAACCAAAAATCGTATATAAAAAAAAATTAAGATATTTTTCCATGTAGTTTTAGTCATTTTTTATTTCGTCTTTTATATCTACGAGTAAAGCGGGTATCACGTCTATACATTTATCCACCACATCATGTGACTTTTATCGTATTTTAATATTCACTGTTGTGAATTTGTGATCATAATATCCATAATTTACAAGATAATTCCTAAAGTTGGGCCGATCTAATTTTGGACACGGCGTTGCTGTGAGTCATACTTATTTTTTTTTTTTATTAAAATCGTTATTAGCTATTTCAAACATTTTTTAAATTTGGAGAACCACTATAGCAGAGCTGGATTGGGTGAAAAAGGCTAGCTGAGTTATCCCAAACATTAAATTAAATAGAAGCCCTGCAGTCCGCCCCCCGAGCAGTTAATTCTAATTTCTTGATAAATAATTTGATATTAATAATGGAAATAGTTATAATATGTTCGTGTAAATATACGTGTAGATAATTTCCAAAATCGAAATACWGTTGCGCTTTTCCTAGGAATAATCCTAGACCGATAAAATCTTTAAAATGTCTGTCCCTATAGCCGTAAACATCACACATCATATATGCCTAGGCATAACCATAATATAATGTAATTTGCTCACTTCGTCGTCGTTACCACCAGAGTCGCCGAACACCGCGTAAAGTTCGATGTTCTTCAGGTGTATCTGCAGATTGTAGTCACCCGTCTGACTCTGGTCGAACTTGATGGTGGCGCCGTGCGTCAACAGCACCAGCCCGGACAGCACCAGCACCGAGACCGTCGCGTTGCACCACCGTCGCTGAGAGTACTGCATGCTGGCGGGTCGTGTGCGCCGCGAGCTGCAGCACGAACGTGATAGTATTATAATATCAATAAATTATTTACGATATTTACGACACAATAATATTTTAATGTGATAGTGTATCGTTGATGAGACGATGTACCGACGCGACGTGTGTCCTCTTCCGTCCGTGCAGCGATATGGCGWGACGAGACTGCAGCAGGCGACCGATAATATTGTATTACTGTTACGCGWATGGGCAGACGAGTGAGTGAGTGGTCCACACAGCGTCTGATACGCGACTGAGCCGCCCCTGCGGTGGCCTGCGGTCCGTCTCGTCGCCACTGCAGTATCCGGCGGACCAGTTCGAGCAGCGGTACGCCGACCCGCAATATCGCTTTGCAGAGCCGCAGCGACCTCGGCCGCAACAGTGTGTTATACAGGGTGATTCGCCAACCATGCTCAATACCGTTTTATCCTTAAATAATTCATTCATTCGGATTTTGATTTTTCAAACAAGACGTATAATTTATTACTTATATATTATAAATTACACTATTGAATTATCATTTTGATTGCTAGAGATTTTTTTTTTTTACGATATTATTCGACGAGTTTCCGGATAAAAACTTCTTAATTCAAATGAGAACAATATTATTTTCTAAAACGTGTTATGAGCAGGTAATTTTTTGTTTTGAAAAATGTATGCATGTACTTCGATTGGAATTCGAACAAGTAGTCTGCGGACTATACATTATTAAACAATAAACAATGTATCTACAATGCATTTTTAAATTGTAATATTTCACATCATATTACCCAATATTATAATATGTACAATGTTCATCATAATTAATACAAAATATAAATTATAATACGACTATCCTTAAACTTAAAGCAGAACTATAATATTGTCAATATTATTGTCGAATTTGTCATAGTTTTGTTTGATACTATCTTATAGGCACCTAAATCTCAGATCAATCGAAGCCTACGCACATACTCGTTCTAGGTATCGCAAAGGCATCTGTGGAGTATTATACATTTTTGATGAATAAATTGTTATTTTAAATATATTGTTGTTTGCATTCATTTTTGATTAATAAACAATGGCCACGATTTGGAAGTAATGCGCTAGTAGTCCCGGCAGTCGTTGATACCACGGGAGGAAAATGTAGCYCTTCTCCTCCCCATTTCAGATTTAAAGATTCACACCTGCATGCTGGTATAGAGCTTTCATKGGTAAATAGACCCTAGTASATGTTAGYATAGGTTTATTATATACTCAGAATAARATTTGAACGGAGCTGCTCTATATAGGCGATTATATAACTATATAATATATTTATATTTACACAGAGTAGCGAATAAGCCGGTCCGAGTCCTAAATATAATGTCAACTAATTTAGTTATATTTTGAAAGCTAGAACTCTAGAAGATATATACGTTGAACAATCGTATAAAGAATTTGTTTACAATAGAAAACAAGGGAAACTCCTCACGAACCACAACCAACTCATCTGATCATCTCTCAGCTGACCTTTAAGACTCTTCCTGACAACCCCACGCAAGACGCCTCAAGTGCAACTAGTTCAGAGGTCTTCTTAACACATAAAATACCTATAATACTTATATTATTTATAAATTTTACCTTAAATCACTGTAAAAGGTGACTCGGSTACGAGTCTTCCTTCAAGTYATTCAAAAGCTGAAAGTATTTCAWATTATTCTTACCACATAATATTTACTTAATGTATATAGTGTACAGTTTGTAAATTCTCAATAAACGCCAATATAATAAAAAAATTAATAAAAAAAGAGAAGAAAAAAAGAAGAAAACGTCGGTAATTGGTATGCTATGTTTCTTAAATATAACACAGTATAGGTGTAAAATAATATTTTGAATTGTATAAAATATATGGCATATATAA